TTATGAAATATCTTTTCTGGAGCTGCATTTCTTTTTAATGCTTTCACATTTTAACGTTTGTTCAGTAATTCAGAACGGTAATTGTTGTCGAAAATATAGAACGGTAATTCATTTACTGCAAGAAAATAATTTCGCCTACTGGGATCACTCTTTAAAAAAACCTCGTCATGGGAAACTTTCGTCTTTCCCATGCAAAAATTAATTTTTTCTCCTAAGAAGTTAACATTTGACAGTTGGTCACACGCGAAAATTATTTTGTGAAAAGATTTCATCCGGATGTTCATTCGAAATAGAACATCTATACGTATGATCCTCTTATTCATTCCACGTCCGAGCTAATGTCATAATGGATGGTCCCATTTGAGCATTGATTTTGTGAGCATAAGTGTTGGCATCCGGCACAGGTGTTGAAAGCCACGATTAACTGTCAGATGAACATCTCTGTTGATTGATCATATTGAACTGTCGCATTATTGATTGCCAATTAATTAAGCTTATTGAGGTGCTTTTCGTAGAATTCTTTTTGAAATTTAGCAGTTGAAGACGAATCCAAATAGCTCTCTTAGGATGTATTGAAAATTTCCTCTTCTATCTATGATCATAAACGATCACTCAGTCAAGTTGCCTTATTGCAAATGAAAATTGGGTCTTCATTTTATTTTCATTCTGTCATCCTCTCGTCTCTTTTATTCCCCCCTTCCTTCTGTTCGTTCTCTAAGTATTTTTTCAATTCCTTTCTGATTCATCCAAATTTTATTACGAAATATATTTTCTGGAGCATCATTCCTCTCTGATTTTTTTTACCTTTTTAGCTTTGTTCAGCAATTCAGTAACGGAACCTCGCCTAATATATAGTGATATTTCATTTATCGGACGAAAATAATTTCACCTACTGGAACCAATCTTTAGAAAAAACCTACTGGATGGATTCAGCACAACACATCGCTGTGTTTTGCTGAATCCTCACTACGACTTGGTTTTCGATAAACGATAACGTTTATCCTGTAAGCCTCAAGGAATTACACCGTCATTGTCCTTCTTTGATCTTGTTCCAATCGACGACAGCACAATGAGTTTCTTTCTGGATCTTTTCGGACGTGAATATTCGAAGCGATTGGAAACAATTTCATCCGAAGCGAACATGGCTGTGTTGTGCTGACTTTGTGTATTCTCGTTCATCCAATATACTCACTGCAAGGTTTCCTCCTTAGCATGTGATTTAAGAAAACCAGTTATTTGAATGAATGTTTGTGCGATTATTACAATGAAATAGTTTTGAATAACGATCTTTTAGTCAAGCTTCATCAAAATTTTATTTACCGTAATGGTGATGCAGATGATATTTCATCACTGCAATGTGTCATTAAAATAATGCCATCAGACGATTTTTTGGATCGTCGTTATATCAATGAATCTGCGACGAAATTAATCATTGCATGCAAGAAGTTCAGCGATTGCACAACACTGATCATATTCTCTGATTTATTATGATTGCCGATCGAAAGTCATTCTCACTGAAAGCCATTAAGTTTTTGCACTTGTAGTCTCAGAATTTGAGATATATCGATTGTGTTCAGGGGTTTTCAGTGAGCGACAAAAATGTAGTTGAATAGCATATAGAATGGTAGTGGCATTAAAAGCAGGGCACAGAAAGTCGAAAGGGGTGGATGTATGAGGATTCGATGGATGCATGGCTGGCTTAAACGGAAACATCGAGTGTAAATGTTTACGAAACGGATTGATGAACATTTGAGAGTACGTACACACAAATCACATTGAGTACAATTGGTGGTTACGTTTGTATATGTTTGATGACGATGATAATAGCGAATTGATTATCCACACTTTGTACATCGCTTCGAAAACAGCATCGAATATTCAAATTAGTTTCGGTTAGATGAAATTTCGATTGATTTATGCTTGATTTAAATATTCAATCCATTTTTATTTCGTTAATCCATCATGATGAATCAATCGGTTTTGATCATATTCTACTGCTGGTGGGACTTACTGAAAGCACACAGTACGCTACGTATGAAAGTCATTTTTTCAGTGAAATTCTTCGGTGCTTTTCGGCAAAAGGAATTCCTAGGAATCATCATTCTATGACATTTTTTTGACAGATAATTCTAGTTCAGGTTTTGAGTTGTTATAATGTTTTGATCAGTTTAGGTGGAATAATTCATGAAGTTGATTCGAAAAATTCAGTCGGCTTTGCATGCTATCGAATATCACTTGTCTCAAAATTTCAAAGATATGTTAACACTGCAACACATAGATTTGATGTTGTACTGAAGAGGAATATGGTTCCGATCAAAGAAGGATTTATTGATGCATGATAAGAGATCTNAAACCATCAATTCGGAACTGTCGTTTGCCGATGAGAGCCATTGACTTGAGATTTGTAGCGATGTGTTGAGGAGAATGAACAAAGCATGAAATATTCAGTTGTAACCTTTGTTACGAAAGTTTGATATTAGGAATTTGAATGGAGCTCAACGAATACTCCAATCAATGCAAGATGAACGGATTCGAGTAGCATCATATGTGGTACATTTTGAAACATCAATAACAGATTTGCTATCAGCTGCATTTCACTTGAATCGGATGAAACTGTTCAATTATTTCACTTTGTATGGTTACTTGAGCTTGTTTACGAATCCGGTATTGTTAAACATTCGAATGAGATTGCTGCTGTTATTGTTGATGGATAAATTGAGATTAAGTATTACTGAAACTGGATTAAATGAGGGTAAATATTGACAACTGAAAGAAGTATATGCTTATTCAATATCGCCGATTAATAAGATCTGTGATGAGGGAGAGGCAAAGAACAGCGATTGGATTTCAATGCTTATTATGGGACAGAGGTGAAGGCGATAGCGTTACTACTGTATATCTGCTTGGTTGTATATGATCATTCGTAACGTTTTGATCTGTAAGAATAAGTATGAAAAAACATTCCGAACTGCACGAATCACCGAATTTCCATAATCTTACACATTTTCTATATCACCGATATGAATACCTTTCGAAGCTTCATTTGAATGTATCTGATTGCGATCTATCTGTAGAAGAGTAAAGTGACCGTTATTTCAGGTAGGAATTTGTAATGAAGTGTTTTCAGTCTTCAGCTGGAATGATTGCTTGAAAAATAATTGTGAACGACACGTTAATAAAATGAAATGTTTCAGATCCTCAACAGATTCATCGAGTTCACAGTGCTTATCAGACCTGAAACAACGTCTTCTGAAGGCAGCCGTCTCAAAACAACCACATCTACTTTCGACAGTTGACAATCATCAAATCAGGGTTACTTCTAATCATTCGTCATTTTTTCATTCATTTGTCCAGAATTCACCACATACGGATCAGATCCCTTTCAAAATACATTTGTCATTATGTAAATAGAATAATTATTGTTATTTTCATTATTAGGATTGTGAAAATATCTGAATTTGTTATTGATAATGTTTATATCTTTGATCATTGACGCATTGTTAGAAGTGCTTATGGCAAGCTATTGATGGCCTTGGTTAATGCTGTTTGATAAACACAGTGGAAAATTTGTGGCCGAAAACGTCTTATCGATTAAGATTTGAATTGTTTTATGGGCATGCTTGTCGTTGCTCAATAAGATGATTATAGAGTGAAGTAACGTTTTGTTGATTGAAGGATTTAATACAACAAGTGATATCTGGTGATGATCCATCGATGTTGAATTTCGATCAGATACAAGCAATCAATGAATGGCTTGAACAGCTCGACGATTCACATAGCAATCAAAAAAGGTTCATTCTTTCTTGTATCTTCATCACATTGTTTNCTGTTGAATTCCGTGAGAGTAGAATGCATCAGGTAGTAGTTGAAAATGTGCTTCTTGAATGGGAATTGTGAATCGTTTTCGTGTGCTGGGTAAATTTAGTTCAGACATAAACCATCTCTTACTAATAGTTCCACTTGTTTGTTTTGACAGTGTGAAAATGTTCATTATGATTTTGATGAGTAGCAAATTCATAATGATGCATTTTGATATGCGTGAATATTCATTTGTGTTAGATGGCATAGCTAAACGTATGCAAATGAGATTGTTGTACGCGAACGGACGAGGGAAATAATATTTCCGTCAGTTTGATGGTACATCTAGTATATGCATATCTCATAATTTATATCAACAGATTATGCTGTATTATTCGCTTAGTGGTTTTGCGTTTTGCACATTCTTTTATCCTTTGTTCCTTCATTCATATTCATACGCATAACCCAAAACGAAATTATTGTCCACTAATTATTCATTTATTTTGCTCACAAAACAGCTGCATCCGTTTTTATTCACAGCCAATAACGAAGCAACAATAACAACAACAAATCAGTAACATCAAAATTCATAATTACTTATCATCATTCTGCATTTTAATGAAGATAACTGCTCATACTCACTCTGAATCTCATCGTTCATTTGCAAATCGCTTTCGAACACTCAGGCACGAGACATCAATGTGGCATCACTGAAAAAACTACTTTGCACTTTCATGATTTGGCTGTAATTAATGAAAACCTTGAGAATTGCTTGATCTCTTGAACCAGCCGATTGGCTGAATTACTTCGAGCAAACTTTCTTTGCTTCATCAAAATCCTTCACTCTTTCAGCAATCAAGTGATTTTAACAGAAATCATTAGTCACTGTGTTAGGTAGATATGTGAATGGGAGTCAGGTAGATATGTGAATTCACACATTAAGCGTCTATTTTGACCTCTTTAAAAGCCATTTATCTGGAATCAGTTTTTTGCTCAAGTGGAATTAGATCCACGAGTGGACATTTGCAAAAAGTATATGTTCATGGTTCTAGGAGCGTTGGCTTACCATGTCAATGATCTATACATAATTAGTCATTTCGTGTACCACAAATATAGAAGGCATCAATCAGTGTAGAAAAATTTGTTCATTTCGTCAACTTACCAATTGTTTAATTTTGTCTTCAACTGAAAATGAAATTATTGGTGTCATCAAATTGATTGAATGACGAAGAATTGAAAATAAGTTTTATTTTGTCATTGCTCATTTTAGATTTTGTCATTTACGATCAGCTATTTATATCTTTTATATTTGTGTTGGTATTTATGAACGAATGAACTCTTTTTGGATTCTTGTTAGGAGTGTACGTATATTGTGTGTAAGTGTATATTGTATATACACAACGAGTAAGATAGCTGACTGGCTAAATAATCCGGCGTTGTGGCTGGAATAATGCAGAGAATGAATGTTGTTCGAAGAGAGTGGAAAAAGGGGATAATACAGTATGCACGACGGATAAAGCAGTGAATTGCATTCAGCTAAACGATCGTTGTTAAACTTCAACATTTATATTCTATTTGTTCAGATCATGCATTAGCAAATACTTTTACACTCACTTAATAATCCATTAACATTGTGTAGATATATACACACATACCGTTTACTGTATATTGTTGTTTCAATTCAGATCTGTTTTGTATTCTACGATTAAGACGTTCTTTTCGTTTTCCAGCAGTTTAGACATGAATTGAGGGGTGATATCCGAATGTTATTGGACCAGGGATCATCGTCTGCGCAAAAATAAACAAACAAATTCGGAGATAAACGAACAAAAAATAGATTCCGTAAGGCTGGCGCCACACTATCCTTTCAAAAAAAAAAACAGCATAGTAACATTTGCTTAGTGATGATGATTTGAATTTACTCACTTTCATCATTCGAATAAATCTAAAACTGAACAGTGCGAACAACATAATAGGCACAGTTATGATTTTCCGTGAATGCAGTGGAAATGTGCGATGTACACGATGAGCCGAGTGGTAGAGCAGGAATGAGGAATATGACATACAGTTCGTTCTTTTGTCACATTGAGGATGTTTTCAATTTATCCGAATGATAAGATAGTTTTTGATCATTAACGAGCACAAAGTGTGGTATCAGCTATGATCGGTAGATACGCTGCCATCAGTTCAGGCAGCATAAGCGTTATCAAAAACTTCCTGCATGTCTTTGCATCTGAGATCTAATTTTTTAATGCTGTGCGTGAATTTGATTTTTTTGCACCGTCGTATTGCAGTCTTATTTGAGACCAGCTTGATTACCGGAGAAGAAGATTCCTATGATATACAGTCATATGAATTGCAGTAGTTCAGTGAGTTGAGAGGTTAAACGCTTGTGGTGAAACGTTGTTCGATTTTGCGCTACTACCGATAATTCTTTCACTGGACGAATGAACTGAGTGAAAGGATACCACAGTAAGATGGCAGCAGCTCGTGAAACTCATTGTAATCTGTGATTCGTTATTGTTTTTGTCGAAGTGACGTTAGTTTGACGATGAATTTGATCGAAAGTGAGTGAATCATTAGACTCTTTTTTCTGATGTGAGCACATATGATTGAACCGAAGCATACTCGATGAGTTCAATTCTTAAAAGATGACAAATAAATTTGGCACTTATGAAATGCAATCTTTAATTGATTCCTTGCAAAAACCTTATGAATTAGACATTCGTATATTGGCGAGAAGTTGAATGTTCCATCGATTACTTATGCATGAAGGTATTACTGATGTTGATAGATTTCTCAAAATCGTTTCCATGTAACTCACAAATTGCGAGTCATTATTCGGAAGGTGATGGGAATAAACGAGTGAATAAAGGAAGTTTTTCGATCGAGAATTGAATAAAAAAGGCTCAAATTGAATTTCTCATTGGGAAGTCTGAAGTGTGGATATATTATTGTGAATGTTGTTCATATAATGACTCATAAATGCAACAGTCAACCAAATTTCACTGTAAACCCTTTCACTAACATTTATTCGTATCAATACAAATATTATAAATGCTTGTATTTAGCCACGCAAATACACAATATATACGATAACAAATCCGTCGACTCGAAGTTGAAATGCGAGTTTATTCATTTCATTTGTAAGCATCAAAGAATCTCTCTCTCTCTCATAAATCCTTATGCACTTCTAATCCTATTTTTTTTCACTCATAACTTGCTGCGTTGACCCAATCCAAAAAAAGATTATGAAAAGAATATCGTCTATTTCTGGGAGAATGAAAATTTATCGCATCAAATTCATTTTCGTTCCATTCAAATACATGGAATAATCGTGCAGACATTGCTTCAGTAATCTGCTACACGACTTCAGTTGTTTTCGTGATTTTGTAAGGTTTTTGAGCACAGAACATAGAGTAGTTTCTCGTGGATTACGTTTTATTGCTGCGATGAGAAGATGAACTGAGATGGATTCCTTTTTGATTGCTCGAGAGGCAAGTAAGAAGTAGACTTGATTGTTTCACATCTACACTTATAGAGAACGATTTTTAGGCGTCACATTTGAAGAAATTTTCCATCCGCGTTCGTCACTCAAAAATTTTCACAGCAAATCATTTGAATTGGAACNTTTCCGAATGAATCTCGAAATAAATTACGTTTCGAGAGTAGTGGTATGTGACAGATTTGTATGCTTGCATTTAATTACGTAATCAAACGACAAAAACGACGTTATTAAAATTATTGTAACAATGGGTTCAGAGTACAGTTAATTCGATGATAGACAAAAAAAAATCGAAGCAAATGAGAAGAAAGATCGCAATCAGCAAAATCTATCCATCCATCTGCCGAACTACTTCCAGTCTCATATAAAACCCATCAGTCTACCTGCCTATTCATCAAACGCATTTGATCGATTATATAAGAGCATTATTCTACCTGGTCATGAATTGTTATGCGATTGCAGTATTCAGTTTTTATGTGCGTCAATTCTTAATGTTCAAGAAGGAGAATCTGCGTATATATGTGCTGTGTGTTTTTGGCTGTGCGCGATTTCGATGTGATTGCAAAAGACATCTATTGCGTAACGTATGTCATTACATAACCAACCAGCCGAACAACGACCGGTTTCGTTCGAATGTCACTCGGATCGGATGGATGGATCGATCTTTAATATAGTTCCAATCACCGTCAGCACTATTCAATCATCCGACCGAATTCACTGTATTATTCCATACTATATACACACATACACACTCACACTTATCTTCAAACACTTTTTCAGTTTCATGCATCACGGTTATTTCTTCGTAAACAATGCAATAATTTACTATGAAGCAATCAGAATTCAATTACAATTCGTACATTTTGACCAGCGTGCCGTGGCATAAACAGCCATAAACGAATAGTTTTATAGCATGTGATGATGCCTTCACTGAACTCAATTGTTAAATCGATCGTTATTATCATAAACCGCGTCGATCTACTTTGTAACGATCTGTCAATGGAAATATAGTATCAAGTGAGCAAGTAGTGAAGTATTTAGGCTACAGTACCGCTTTTGATATTGCCTCCTCATCGTTCATTATCTTGTAGCATCATCGCATTATCAGATTAGTGAAACTTATCAACAATTGGAAATAAGTTTGCTGGGAAGATGAATCGTCAAAAGAAAAGCAATGTTTTGGTAGTGCAGTGATGAACCGTGAGCGAAAACATGGAGAGAAGTGTTTTGCGATCGAAATTAGTCAAATTATTTGAAACAATAAAGTAAACGGATNGATCATCACAAACTGCAAATTAATCTCCTCCGATCATTTCTTAACTGCACTGCGGATCAACAAATCCTCAAAGCGGAAACTGATCTGTACACCTTCGTTCTAAGCTATTTAATAGCCGGATATTGCGAGTTTAACCATGAAATTATCACTTTCAATGACCATCGTTCACTGTTACACTTTCAAGTGTACTGAAATCCGCAGATTGCCACTCTAGATCTATCCTTTGTCTTATGGTACTCAAATACGTGCAAAATTCAGCTGCGCAAGACAAATTCAGATAGCCGTCATGGAAACAAAACTGGGAGATTGTACTGTTATTCGTTAGTGTAAGATGATGCTTGTTTTGATAGGTTAAATGACGATGTAGTTGGTGATATAGAGCAGTTTGAGAGTGATCATGTATAATACCTCTAACGGATTATTGAGATAACATAAGGTCTATGTAATATCAGTGTTCATAATGTTACCTGTTGTGATGTTTTGAGAAGAGCGTTTTTTGGTGGTTGAATAATATAAATGATATGCAAAGAGTGAATGATGGTCGGTGTTTCAGAAATTGGGATATGAAGTGAGAGGAGTGCGAAAGAATAAAGATTTGTGTTGCATTAGATATACCATAGCATTTGGCTGGTGCGTGTAAGATGGATTTGTTTGAAATGAGAGGAGTGGGAAAGAATAAAGATTTGTGTTGCATTAGATATTATAAATACCATAGCATTTGGCTGGTGCGTGGAAGATGGATTTGTTTGAAATGAGTATACGTAAAAATGGATGGATCAGTGCGGTGTAGCATGTCGTTTTGGGGTATGCTTAGCGTCAGCCGGGGATTTGATTAGCTGCAGTAGGGATTATCTTAGGAACATCTCAAGATCAAACAGCCTAACTGCATGTTTATATTGGCCTCTATTGAGCCGACACGCCCGATTAGCTTCGGCTATCCAAAAACGTTTATGCACTAATGCGTTTCGAAGAAGAATATTAGAAATCCATCTGAGGGACCTTATTGATAGCTTCATCTAGGCCAGCAGTGTTCAAGATACATCACCCCAATCTCTCATTATTAGGTATAAATGTCCCCACACTTTGTATTTTGGATGGTTGAACTGCTAAATCAGTCTTGTATTGGGATATGGAATTTTTTAGTAGGGTTGATGCGATTTTCTAAGGAAACTGTATGGTGAAGGCATTGGGGGTATCGAATAGGATAATTTCCATCGAATTGATTGCGAAAGAATCATTTAGTAAATTTTCAGTCGAAAAATTACATGAATAACACTGATAAACTTGTTTCAGCCCATTCACTACAAGATTCAATCAGCTCTTAGAAATACCAAAGTTGGAGCGTTGGTTTCGGAGTGAACAAAATCCATCACGACAGAAACTGATCAATTATATGAACGTGTTGAATGGTTCAAATTATAGACGTCATAATACAAAGATCACTTATCAACAAATATGCAATTGGTTCTCGAATCAGCGTGCAGCCAACAGGTCAGTTGATGGCTTTTTAGTCTCGATCATGCAGTGCTGTCATGGATGCTTATCTGTTCTTCATTTGAAGAATTGGTTCATCGCGAGTATGGCTTAACTTTGTATTACTGAGAGGATATGCATACTCGGTAATGCGCCTTCGATAATAAATTGAAGCTATTATGAACCTGTCTTGATTAGCAACCTGAACAATTTGTCAAAAAATAAACGACTTTTCAGGCAATCAACAAAGAACCGTCAAGCATCACCACTCCAGAGTCTGTCGATGTCACAGTCCCTGTTGGTTCCGAACGTACAAACAACACTTCCAAACGATTACCGTCCAAAATTTGATTTTAACTCATTACTTGAGAATAAACAAGCAAATGGCCCAACGAATGAAGTAATCATTTTTAAGTATTCAATTCATTTTTGCATTCTTCAATCAGCGATAACCATCAGTTTTACAGATGATTTTTAGAGGTTTCTCGCCAAATTTGATCAGTGCAAAGAGCCGTAACAAGACTCTAAATTCTGTTCTATGCGCATTTCTTGTTTTCTAAAGAAGTGCATATAATTCTTTTTAAACAATGCGTTCGGATTGTGTGAAGATATTTCAAAGCAAATTCATAATCTCATAGTCATTGATTAGTCAGAGTTGGTTTGCGAATACATAATGTATTTATCATCTGTGAATTGCGTAGCGATAGTATTACATAATTCCATAAAGTTACATGAAATTGTCATCGAAAATGGGTATTGTTGTTATTTCGAATACACCATATTGTAATACAAAAGATCTTGCTCAATATGATTAACAAACATAACTAACAAAGAGTTATGATAAAAGGACAGGATATATGCTAC